TCCCCACAATCACAGCAGTGATAACCATTCAATACACAAAGAAATACTTTAGAAGACACTCTTCAAAGTCACAATACTTGATTTTGCTTAACAACTTCAATCAAGAACAATACACTCTTGCTTAAAAGCTTTGAGTGAACAATTGACACTTTACAAATAACAGCCTAAATATGTCTACCACGATGCATCCAAAGATACAAAGGGTGACTTACACAGTCACACACAAAAGACTCTCAAAACCCTAAAACACAAAACCACACGTGAAGATTAAGTTACACCAACATAATTCTTCACGACACAATCTCTCTCTCCTTAGTCAGGATTTCCACTCCTCTATTTATATGCAACACATAGACCTTGGGCCTAAGCGGCAGAGATTATGTTTAACCACGTTAAACCCTTTTCCATAAATCAGGGTTCTTTCAATTAGGTCAAAGGCATTTCATGTTATGCTCAACACTGCCTAGAATCTCGCCTGAGATAACTAAGGAACCATAACAGGTTTCCTGAATTCTAGCCTAAGATAAATCAGAAACCACAACAGAAAAACAAACAGCGCCCTTGCTGGCAGCTACCTGATGTCATAACATTCAGCACGACATCCAATACACTCTGTTATTAGCTAACCAAACTTACCCTGCAGTACACTCCTGCAAAATCTTCTTCATAACAGTAGAAACAAATACATTATAGTTTCCTAAAAAGTCTCAAAAATCCTTTTTATGAACACCAATTAAATATGCATTTTGTTCCTAATAAATCTCTTTGACCTGCACATACTGATGAGGTATATCCAACAGGATCTCATCAAACCAAAACACCTCTGTCAAGAGATATAAAATAGCAGCTCCTGTTGTACCAGACAAGGATGTCACGACATCTGTCTTGACATCTTGATTAAAACAGATGACAACAGTTCTGTCACCACAGCAGATGGATATGTTATAACATCTTGCTTAACATCAGTGCAGAATCATGTTTTACCAAAATTTAGCCAATCATAGAACCATGGACAATCATAGAATCATGGAACTAACATATAGGAAGATGATATTGCGACAGAGATCAAGTTTTGGGAAACTGCTTTGATCATGTATGTGCTTGGGGAGAATCTAAGCATGAAAATGGTGAAGAACTTCATGATAAAGACATGGAATTTTGTTAAGTTTCTAGACATATATTACCATGATGAAGGTTACTTTCTTCTCATATTCAAATCTCACATAGACATGGATGCGGTTATGATGAAACGATCATACACAATAAAGAACATGCGGATGTTGCTGAAGGAATGAATACCAAATTTTAACCTAAAGAGGGACCTATTGTGAACAATTCCTTTGTGTGTTAAACTCCCTTAACTCCCTTTACACCTTTAGGGGGCAAGAAGTATAATTAAAATAAGTAGTGTCATTGAGGCTTCCATGGTCACTGATGAATGCACGACAAACAAATTAAGAGTATCTTATACATGCATATTGGTTGAGGTTGATATCACGAAGACTTTGGTTAAGGAAGTAACTATCAAAGAATATGAAGGAAGGAAAATTAATTAAGTTGTGGAATACGAGTGGAAGCCTCTCTATTGTCAGAAGTGTCAAAAGATGGGCCACTAATGTAGTGTTGTTGTTAAAGGGAAGCAGTGGAAGCCAAAGACCAAGCCACCTGATATCATTAAAGTTACTTCCTCTCCAATTGTGACACTAGAGGAAGATCCAAAGGAGAAGATTGATGAAGACAATGAGGAGAACTAGACAAAGGTGAGAAAATCCACTAGAGACAAAGGTAAGAGAATAACTTATGTTGGTTCAACATTTAAAGTTAACCGTGTGAATGGATTTGAGGCACTAGCAGTTTTGGATGATCCACTAGTGGCCTTTGATAAGGGACAGTGTTAGTATTTTGGAATGTAAGGGGGCCGAATAAGTTAGGTAAACTTAGGGAGATTAGCTCCAGTCTCCTAAAGTTGAAGTTTGAGATAGAAATTTTGATTGAGATAAGAGTTAAGCATCCTAAAGCTAGCATGGTTAGAGATAAGATTACTTTCAAAGGTAGATATCTGGATAATTACCAACATAGTGGAAATGGTAGGATATGGATTGAATGGGATAATAGAAAGGTAGACATTAAACATATTAGAAGCACTGACCAGTTTATTCACTATGGAGTTTTTGATACATCTGGAGTGTTTAAGTACTGGTTAACAACAATGTATGCTCAAAGCCAGTTGGAGTATAGAAGACTATTATGGAAAGATATTGAGAACCTGAATAATAATCAAAAAGGGCCTTGATGTGTGATTGACGACTTCAACAATGTTGCAAAGGCACAAGACGATATTGGTGGGAAGATTGTAACTGAGGTTGAGTATGTTGATATGTAGAACATGATGATAAAAACTATATTATGTGAAATGGATAGCATTGAAGACTATTTCACTTGGTCAAATAAGCATGTTATGGTGACAGAGTTTTAGGGAATATGGAGTGGTCTCAAGATAATTTAGGGACTAACTTGAATATTCTTCCCCCTATTGTTTTTGACCATGCTCTCCTTTGTGTAGTAGGCTTGACAAAAGTGGGGATAAATAAAAGGTATATTTAAATTCTATAACAGCATTATTGACATGGTTGGCTATGAGAATGTTGTTAGTAATAGCTGGAGACAACCTTTAAGAGACAACTTTATATACATGCTTTGGCATAAACTCAAAAGGTTAAAACCACAATTGAAGGCATTTAGTAGATCCATTTATAATGTGAAGCAGAACCTATAGAAAGCTAGGTATGATCTTGAGGTTGCTCAAAAAGTTCTTATTAATAATAGACCAAACTATCACAAGATTGATACTATTAAGATTTGCACTGAGGAGGTTATAAAGTGGAATGAGTTGGAGGAAAATGTGCTAAATGTAAAGATCAAAAATTGATTGGCATAGATTGCGGGATGGGAATAATTCCTACTATTATGCTACATTAAAAACCAAGAAAAATGCAAAAAGTATAAAGGTTTTGCATAGGTCTGATGGGAATATTCTCACAGACCAAGCTGATATTCATAAGGAAGTGATGGATTTATATGGCAGTCTAATGGGAAAGGTTGCTATCAACTTGAAGCATGTGGATATTGAAGCCAAGAGAAGTGTAAGGCAACTTAACATGGAGAAAAAAGAGTACTTAGTGGGCAAAGTCACTGAAGAAGAAATTGTCAAAGCTTTACAGGGAATTGGTGATTTGAAAGCCCTTGTATTTATGGATATGGGGCTAAGTTCTTTAAGGCAAGTTAACACATCATAAAGAGTGATGTTATTGCAACAATCCTGGAAATTTTTTAGAAGGGTATAATGTTTGAAGCCTTTAATAGCAATGTGGTGACTTTAATCCTAAAGAACGAGAATGCCAAGACCATAAGAGATTATAGGCCAATTGCAGGGTGAACAACCTTTTACAAAATTACCTAAAAAATTATGACCAACAGGTTGGGAAAGGTGCTTCATGTAGTAGTTCATCATAGTCAAACAACATTTGTTCCAGGCAGGTCATTCATAATCATATCCTCTTGGACTTTGAGTTGTTGAAAGGATACACTAGGAATGGAGGCACCCCTAGGTGTATGATGCAAATAGATTTGCAAAAAGCATATGACATGGTGTACTGGACAACTCTAGAATGTGTGTTACAGAAAATTGGCACGCCTAAGCAATTTATTGATTGGATCATGATTTTTATTTCTACTGTCTCTTACAGATTTAACATAAATGGCGATTTTCTGATATGTTCCAGACTAGAAGGGGTATTAGGCAAGGGGATCCCATAACCCCCTTGTTGTTTGCATTATGATGGAATACATGAATAGAGAAGTTGGCCATTACACATATAACATTTATTGATGATGTTTTGCTTTTCAGTAGAGGGGACAAGAAGTCAGTGAAGATGATTATTGAAATCTTCAAGAAGTTCTCTAAGTCCGCGTGGCTTACTGTAAATCCCAGCAAATGTAAGATTTATTATGGTGGGGTTGATGATACATCTAAGGGAGCTTTGTTAAATGTATCTTGGTTTGAAGAAGGTCAATTTCCTGTGAGATGTCTTGGTGTACCTCTATCTTGCAAGAAGCTTAGTATCAACCATTATTTGCCCCTGGTGAAGTGGATTGTGGGTGGAGTAAAGCACTAGACTACAAAGTTACTTAGTATTGCAGGTAGAATCCAACTAGTTAAAAGTATCTCTCTTGCCATAGCTTAGTATTGGATGCAGTGCTTCCCAATACCAAAGATGGTTATCCAGAAGATAGATTCCATATGTAGGTCTTTCATCTGAACTGGTAATTCTGAGGTCAGTAGAAAGTGACTTGTGGCTTGGAAGAAGACTTGTAGCCCAATCAATAAAGGTGGTAATAATGTGATAGACCTGGAAGTGTGGAACACTATGACTCTGTTGAGATGTCTTGGGAATGTTTGTAGGAAATCTGACAACATGTGGGTCAAGTGGATCCATGTATACTACCTCAAAGGCAAGGATGTGATGGTTGCTGAAATCAGTGGTAGTAACTCCTGGATTATGAATCACATTATGCAAAAAAGAGATTGTATTAATCATATGTAACAGTTGTGGGAGGACATACAAAACAAGCAAAAATTCTCCATAAAGAAAGTGTACTCAATGTTGATTCATGATAACACCATAGTAGGTCGGAGTCATATCATAAGGCACAACTATGTGCGCCTTAGAGTTGTCTTAATTATTTGGTTAGCCTGCCATAGAAGACTTGCCACCAAAGACAAACTTGTGAGATTTGGAATGATGCAGAATAGTATTTGTAGTCTCCATCAAACTACTGATGAAACTATAAACCACTTACTATTTGAATGCATGATTACTTGTGGGATTTGGAAGGGCATTTTCCACTAGATGGGAGAGCATCATAAGCCCCAAAATTGGTTGGGGAAAATCAATTGGATAGTAGGACACACTAAAGAGAAAAGTTGGAAAGTTGTTATCATGAATACTGCAATTGCTGGACACACTAAAGAGAAAAGTTGGAAAGTTGTTATCATGAATACTGCAATTGCTAGACACACTAAAGAGAAAAGTTGGAAAGTTGTTATCATGAATATTGCAATTGCTGATAATATATATGGTATATGGCAACATATAAATGATATCTGTTTTGATAAGAACATAGATAAAGCGAATGTAGTTAGCAAAATTATAGAAAATATAGTGTATAGAGGATGTATGCGGCCTAAGCTAAGAGATCATATTGCAAAGCTGATGATGTAGCTAGGTTGTTTCTTGTTTAATGTATTTGTCTATTTGGAGGGCGGGATCTGTGCGATCGCCTTGTATTCATTGATTTTTTTTGAAATCTATATATATTCTTTTAGTTTTAAAAAAACTCTAAACTCATCAAAATTACTCAGAAAGTCTTAAAATTTTATTATATCATTTATAACTCAAAAAAGTTCTCAAAAAGCTTAAAAACACCTCAACAATATCTCTCAACTCTTAAAATAACTACAGATTATCCAAAAGTACTATAGAGTGTTTAAAAATACTCTAGGGGCAACTCTTCACAAATGATAACTCTACTAACTCTAACGGTCAGCCGTTTTACTCAATTTACTAAAAATGGACCATAAGGGTACCCAAAGGTCACCAACGTCAAAATTGCTCAAAAGTCACAAAAAAACTTCCCGAACTTGAAAAACAGCTAAAAAAACCCCGACCCACCGCCTGAACCAAAATCGTTGCCGCCAGCCACCACTCTACAGCTGAACGCTGCCCTCCACTGACCAGCGATGTGACACCCTCGGGACGACAACCCACGATGTTGCACCCTTTTTTTGCCGTTATCACAGTACTTCCCGCTGCTGCGTTAATCGCTAAGCGGCCCCAATTTTTTCCTCTGGCTGCCACCATCCGACACAACCCTGCCACTGCCATCACAGAGCAGCCTGCCACCGCATCAACTACCGTGTGGCTCCGAATCTCAAATGGTTGACACAACCAACAAGACATAGCATGTCACCGCGTTAATCGCCATGCGGCCCACCGACGCCGATTGTGTCGCTGTCGCCAACTACTCGCGGTGTGGTCGACAACCCTTTGCCGCTGCGACCCGCCGTACGACCTCCCCCCTTAAATTATGATTTTTTAAAATTCCTTGAAAAAAGTATGATTTCTTTTTATTTTCGTGAAAAAAGTCTTATTTTTGGAAAAATTGAAGAAAATACATATCGTAAAATTTTCAGAATTTGAGAAAACGCGTGATTTGGGAAAACATACCAAATGAGGTCGCTCAAATCTCACAGCCATCACACGAAAAATCCAAAGGTATAACTGTCGCTACTCAAAAAATGCGTCGCGCAACGACGGGAAGGCGAAAAAGATAGACAGAAGAGTCGCCACCGAACTTTATTTATCCTATGAGGGGAAAGGAAAATATCGAGAAAACCTTAAGAAAAGAAAGGATAAGATGGTCTCGCAACCATGAACGGGTTCGGAAGCCGGTTATGCGAGGGGAAGGTATTAGCACCCCTCGCATCCATCGTACTCGATGGGAACCTTTTGTTTGTCGATGTGTGAATTTATTTGCTTAAACATTATGCTATAAGAAGTGTTCCACAGGGTAAAAGAAGGGTTAGAAACAGGAAAGTGAGAGGTTAGGAGGAAGAAGAGAACGAGGGAGAAAAGAGAAAGAACAGACTCGATAGGACTTCGCAATCCTAGGCCTACGTATTCTCAACGGGTGTGAGAAAGTCAGAGTCGACGTAGTTCGGGGCTACGTATATAGGGGGAATATGCTCGGCAAGGATTGTGGCCCTTGTGCCTACGTATCTTTACTTGAACGAAGTAAAGAATCAGAGCAGCCGTAGTTCGGCCTACGGTTTGCGGGTGAATTCTGGTAGACGATGCTATCGTGTGCATTCTAGCAGTTTAGGTGTTTTGCTGCTCGCATGTGAGGAGACTTAAGCGTTACCTGTTTGCGGTAGAACGAACGTAGCATGCCTTTCTAGGAAAGGGTGGAAAAGAGAAAAGGGTGCTCGCTAGGATTGTCGCAATCCTATGCCTACGTATTCTCAACATGCAAGAGAAATCAGAGCAACGTAGTTCGTGCCTACGGTGTGGATAACCGGTGTGTTTTATGGATGATGTTATCGTACACGTTCTAGCAGTTTAGGTGTTTTGCTGCTCGCTCGTTTGGAGACTTATGCGTACCTGTTTGCGGTAGAACGAACGTAACATACCCTGTTTGAAAGGTTGGTTTTCGCCATGCGAAGCAAGGTGTCATGTTTGATTGGTTGAATTGTTTTTTAGGGGCGAGATAGGTCCTCGGATAGTAACCCCTACGGGTAGTACCCAATTCTTTATCTCAAAGTTTTTGTTATAAAAGGGTGTGGCGAACAAGGCGTCTTCGTATTGAAAGACGAGCGTCGAAACCACCCTCACTACAGTGGGCATCCCTACGCTCGGAGAAGAAGAGGTCTACACCCAATCCTCTCTCTTTAATTCAATGCAAAGGGAACTTCGTTCTCTTATTAAAGATGTTTTTGGTTTTGAATGGTAAGTGTTTTGCGACAGAGAACCCTACGGTAAACGTCAGCACTCGGGATAGGAGAAGGCCTACGCTTAACCACTCCACGACCATTCAAGTTTTATTGTGAAAAGAAGTTTGCAAAAGCACTCAATGCGGGACCGAGGTTTTAGGTGAGAAAGGTTTCAGAAGGAAGTTATGGAAAGGAGAGGTGGTGGAAGAAATTACATTTTCGTATTGAAAGACGAGTGTCTAAACCACCCACACTACAGTGAGCATCTCGACACTCGGAGAGGAAGAAAGTCTACACTTAATCCCCTCTTTTAGTTCAATACAAAGAGAAGTCGATTTTCTATTGAAAGGGATTTTGAAAATGCACTCGGTGCGGGGCCGAGGTTTTAAGAGAGAAGGGTGGAAGCGTCTTCGTATTGAAAAACGAGTATCGAAACCACCCACACTACAGTGAGCATCTCGACACTCGAAGAGGAAGAAGTCTACACTTAATCCTTCTTTTTTAATTCAATACAAAGAGAATTGATTCCTTATTGACAAGATGTTGATAACCTGCCAAAGAGATGAAAAATGGAGACAAAATATACAAGATACAAATAATATACAGAATATGAAACAGTCCACCAATTAGGATTTTAATGGTTTCAATATTTATTAAGTGTTTTAAAACAATGTACAAGTGTTTGAATATTTACAAGATAATAATATACAGAATATATAATATGTACAAGAATGTAGATGACTGAAATTAAAACAATTAATATTTGACAGAAAATTAAAGCAATTGTATATTTGACAGAAAGTAAAGGTTAGTGGTTAGTTGGTCGATTGAATCGGGACACAAAAGAATGAGATCTCGTCTTAACCGCAAACATAATGTCGATTAATCGAAGGCAGCCTATCGCGATCCCAAAGTAAGGAAGAAGACCCCAATGGTCATCCCCCATAGATTTGAAATCGGGAAGGTTATCAACTCCGATACGCGACACTTGCGGATACAAGACTTCATCGATCCATGAGTCAAAATAAAATCGAGACATAATAAGAAATGAGGAGAGAAAGAGGTGGGTCTCGGATCCAACGATACTTATCAATATTGACTTAGTAATCGGTTTATGGAAGCGTCGTCATCGACCAAAACAGATGAAATAGAACAAAAATGTCCAATAACAAATAAAACATAAGATTAACAAATCTTAAAATTTATAAAAGAAAATGAATAAAACTATAACTTTAAAATATATATATATATATATATATATATATATATATATATATATATATATATATATATATATATATATATATATATATATATATATATATATATATATATATATATATATATATATATATATATATATATATATAAACTATATTTAACTTAATAAAAATAATAGTATATTACAAACTGTTTTTTTTAATAAAAAAACTAAAACAAAATAAAATATATAAGCAACAGTTAATATAATATATACATAACTAATAATAATAATAATTTACAAAATAAAATAAGTAAAAAAAAGAGACAGAGAGGGTTTGTGAGTAAAATCAGGTGGGTGTGTAGACTAGGGACACGGGCTGTGAAGCCCAGCACAATAAAAATAAATCAATGAAAAAAAAAAGGACAAAACAACACATCATACAATCCCCTTCTCCCCACAGCCGTTTAACATCCCAACTCACAAAACTCTCTCTCCAGATTCCGCCGCTTCCCAAACTTCTTCTCCATATTCCTATTTCTCTTCGATTCAATCTCTTCCATTTCGTTCTGTTTTTGATTTGTGTGTGCTTGAAAAAAATGAATTGTTGTGATTCTGGAGAATGGGTTTTGGGTGTTTATGGTTGAAGGAGTTCTGACGTTGGTTGGGTTGATTTGATGCGCAGAGGTTTGGATGGAGAAGTGGTTCGCGGTTATGGGTGAAGAAGAAAAAAAAGATTGTTGGGGTTTCGACGGTGAGCGAAGAAGAAGAGCCGATGGGTCGAATTTGGAGTTCATAGGTGATTTACAAGGTTGTTGGGTTTTATGGCTGAAGTTTGTTGCGGTGTATGGAGATGAACACGAAGAAAAGGTTCTTCAGAGGTTATGAATGTTTTTCCTCTTTTTCTTCTGTTCGGTTCCGAAATGGATTTTAACGGAAGCTTGTTGGCTCGCCTGAAATGGGTCATGTAAGGTAGGTTGAGGAATTTGGATATATGTTTCTGTTAATGGAAATCTGAGTTTTGTGTTTTGGTGTGTTAGATTCGAAAAAGATTGAAGGTTTTGTTGAAGAGTTGAATGCTGATAGGTGGATGAGGTGGATGAGGTAGGATGAAGTGAGGCGAGCTGACGATGTTGGAAGGATGTGGACGGCTAGGGTTGTGACCTTTTGGATTAAGGTTTGGAGGCTGCCCTTTCAAATTAGGGTTTTGTCCTTTGGAATTTAGGGTTTGGAGGCTGAAGCTGGGAGACAATGAATAGGAAACTCCCTTATATAGGGCTGCCACGTGGCATTTTTGGGGTAATTGATGGTAACAATAAAAATAAACTTTTTAATAAAAATTAAAAAAAAATAATAATAAAAAAAAGGCATGGAGTAAGATTCAAACCCCCATCCTTTAAGGAAATAAAGGCAAGTTCATCCGCTGGGGCGGGGATAAGTCCGTTAGTAAACCTGCATAAATAAATATATGTACATAAACGAAATAATGAAACGGAAAAAAAAACAATGGGGCTGAGATTCAAACCCCTATC